CCGCTCATGAGGATAGCCCCGACGCTGGCGAAAAACCCGTTTCAACACGAGACACGCAGAAATCGAACCATCAACGAAATCATACCTGACGTCGAATTGCCCAAGGTGCAAGACGCTGGCCGCAAATACATCTGCGGCGCATTCACCGGGAAATTCTTTCATCTCAACAGAGGCCATTGCGCTGGGCACGGCGAGAAGTGGCGAAGTTCGTCGGGGCCGCATCCGGTTTCCTGGGAAGCCTGTCCGCAGCAAGTACCTGCAACAGGAAGAGCAAGGCCAACGCGCCAATTAAGGAACCAGCAACGACAAGCAGCTACAGGAGACAAAGTGGTGTTACGCAGAGAACAAGGTAAAATATTCGCTTTGCACGCAAGAAAAGCCGAGTGAAGAGGCGAGGCGAGCATATTCGACAAGGCTGGTTAGACCGCGCGTCCGAAGCTTGACCGAGCGCTACTGTCAGCAAGATTTATACGCATACCGGATAGACAGTCTCTATCTCATTGAACCATTAGGGACTTTCAGTGGTTACTGCCGATCTTGGATTGAAAAAAAAGGGGCCTCTCGATTGGCCCCTTTTTGTATTTTGTAAAATTTGTATAAAGTTTTTCTTGTGACGGGTTACCGAGGTACCGGCTACTTATATGTGAATCATGAATTAAATGTGTAGTTGTAGTGTTTTTTGTGTTTTCACACGTATTGTATTTGACAAATTTTTCGTTTTAAAATTGGCGAGTACAGAATTCCATTGCGGCGCGTAGTTATACTTTAATTGACCACTTCTTTTTTTCAAGCTTCTAACCCTGTACGTCTTGCCTTAAATAAATTTTTAAGAAAAACGCGAGCGAGTTACTTGCGTATAGATATGCTTTGAGGGGTAGGCTAGATACTAACTGGCACCTAGAGAAGGTATATTTGAGAGCATGTGTCATGCCTAAACGAAACGGGACATTTATAATGTATACGCAAGGTTTACTTTTTGTAATAATAAAACACTGGCGCTATAGTTTACGAACCCCATAACTAATATTAAAGCACTGATGAGTAAATAAACAGGCAGATCCAAACCGCAACTGCGGGGGCATGCATCATCAGAAGATTAGTAGCTTGTTTTTAAACATATTTCAAAAGGGAACAATTACACAGCGGAACAAAAATGGCGTTAGGGAGGGCTTATTTAATTGCTTCCCACAGGCAAAATAACCACACATTTTTAATGTGAGTTTCATCCCCTCTGTAAGCAATCTAACTAAAATTACTAACGACTTAAAAAAAACAGTTACCAAATATCGAGATGTATGATTATTTTTAAAATCGACGACGTCAAAAAGAAAAACCAACAAGCTTGAATTAATGCACATACATGGCCATCCTTGGGAATATATTCTGGAAATCACGCATTCAAACAGTCAATTGGAAGTCAATCGGGGAGAGAAAGGGATTAACATGAAGGAATTTATGGTGTAGCATGTGATGAAACTAATTATTGGAACCGTAAACGGAGAGAGATATATATATATATTAGGTATTCATACGTAGTTATGATTGATAGTCAGTAGCAGCGGGACGACACGAACATATGTAACTGAAACGTAAACGTGAATTAAAACCGCCTGTTTGTTAGCTCATCTTTGACGCATAGCGTACAGATGGGGCAGCTGGCATGAATCGCATGATCGTCCGTGCGTGTCGTGCGTCATCCGTATCCGTCAACTAGTTGGGCCGATAAATGAAATGCGGCTCGCACCGTAACGGATCGAAAGTCGGGACGTGGGGGGTAATCCGAAAACGCAGTTGAATGTCGAAGCTGGGGGGTCAAAGTCAAAGTGCAAGGCGGTGTAGAGAAGGAAGGGGAACGATTTTCCTTTGAACTTATAGGTATAGTGAGGAAAATGCAGAATTGCGGCCAAATCATAAACGGCTCGACCGTGAAGGCTCGTGATAGTCGGTGTAATAGCAATCATGTAGAAAAGCCATCACTTGTGTCGAAATTGAGTCACAGTCAAAAGGTCGAATGGGGCACAGGACATATTTTTAGACATTTTCTGAGGACATGAATCTGAACGGAGCGATTGAAAAACTTTTGTTTTGCAGCGGTGACCTAGCATTATTATATGGGCTTTATTGAAAAGCAATGAAAAATGTACTTTTCTGCGTGGGACATGCGAAGAGTAATTTGTCCGGATAACCTTTTGACCCTCAGAAAGGGTTAAGACATGGCTTTGTTTACTGTTAGAAAAGAATTTGAACTGCCGGGTTTGCTAGTAGAAATTATACATGCCTGATGTATGAAGGCTACAATGTCACAGTGAATTTCAATAAGGCTAAAAATTGGGTTGAAGAAAGTTTAATGCTCCCTTAAAACCGGTGATAATTTCAACTGGGGCATTCTGTAACTGTCAGTGTCGTTAACTGCAGTGCATGTGGGGTGATCAGTAGGTTAATTTTTTGCGGCTGCGTTTAATGTAGTTTACAGGTGGCAGTTTCTATTTCCCACCCGAGGCTTGCGTAGGTAAAATGGATGAGTGAGTTATACCTTATTCTGTCTTGCAAATAAGTTGTTGCTTGAATAACTAGCGTAATGATGGGAGCTTTCAATGCTTAATCTTAAGACACTCAAACGTACGCGCCATTCTTGTTTCAACTTTCATAAGCGCTCCCAACCAAACATTTCTTCGAGAAAGGTTCCTAATTACCATCCCAAGTGCTCGTAATAAGGGCTATGCGTTTGTCCGTAGCTTGTCCATTTCAGAGGACAAGTAGAGGCTGTTTCGGTAGCTGTCCGCCGGACAGCAGCTTTTAGAGCCATATTTTTCATAATTTTTCTAGCCATCGCTGCCGGCTTGCTGGGAAACAGCGCGAGTTAACATATGATAGTATATACAGGCTGCCCGGAGTGCACCGGCAGTAAACAAATCCATGTTTAACCCTCCTCTTGAGGGTCAAAAGGTTATCCGACAATTACTCTTCGCATGTCAGCAGAAAGTACATTTCATGGTCCTTTCAATAAAGCCATAAAAATGCTAGGTCATCGCTGAAACAAAAAAGTTTTTCAATCGCTCCGTCAGATCATGTCCTAAACACACGGTTTTAAATTCCACGTTACGTTCAGTTACATATGTTCGTGTCGTCCCCTGTACTACTATCAACATAACTACGTATGAATACCTAATATATATATATATATGTTTAGCGGTTCAGTAATTAGTTTCATAAAAGCTGTAGGCCCCTACCCCATATATTCCTTTATGTTAATCCCTTTTTCCCATTGACTTCAAATTGACTGTTTGGAATGGTTATTTTTCCAGTATATTCCCCAAGGATGCCATGTATGTGATTAAATTAAGCTGTTAATTGTTTCTTTTTTTGACGTCAATTTTAAAATAATCATCACATCTCCGATATTTGGTAATGGTTTTTTTAAGTCGTTAGTAATTTTGTTAGTTGTTACAGAGGGAGTGAACTCAATTAAAAAATGCGTGGTTATTTGCCTGTGGGAAGAATAAAAAGCCCCCTAACGCATTTTGTTCCAGCTCGTAATGTTCCCTTTTGAAATTGTTTTAAAAACAAGTACTTATCTTTGATGTTGACGCCCCGCAGTTGTGGATCTGCTGTTTATTACTCGTCACTGTGGCTTAATATTAGTTAGGGGTGGTAAAACTATAGGCGCAGTTTTAGTATTACAAATAACTCGTATAATTAAAAATTTTCCCGTTTCGGCATACACATGCTCTCAAATATATCCTTTTCTAGTGCAGTTAGTTCTAGCTACCCCTAAAGCATATCTATACGCAAGTAATGTGGTTTTTCTTTAAAATTTATTTGGCAATACAGGGTTAGAGCTTTAAAAAAAAGAAGTGAGTCAATAAGTTAACTCGCCCGAATGGAATCTGTACTCGCCCAAATTTTAAAACAAAAAATTATTGTCAAACAATAGTGGAAAAACACAAAAAACAATAAACTACACATTTAATTCATTGATCACATTATAAGTAGGGTACCTCGGTACCCGTCACAACAAAGAACTTTACAAATTTACAAAAATACAAAAGGGCCTATCGAGAGGCCGTTTTTTTCATCCAAGTCGCATAACCACTGAAAGTCCCTAAATGGTCTCCAATGAGATAGAGACTGTCTATCACGGTAGGTAACATCTGCTGACAGTAGGCGTGGTCAAGCTTCGGACGCGGGTCTAACAAGCCTTTCGAATACGTCGCCTCGCCTTTCACCTCGGCTTTTCTTGCGTGAAGCAGTCTACTTTTCAAAAAGCGGTGCAACTTGCGAAAGACGAATCTGTTTTAGATATGGAAGTGAAATTGCGAACACAAAAGTCGACTGACGTGACTGCTGTTTCATTAATCTCGGTAACAGAGCCACGGACAATACAGCGACAAATCAATGATATCCGTAAAAACGGTAAAATAGTCGCAGATTTACGACAGGCTTACGACAAGGCAGAGCGACCAGACAGACAAACCTATAACTATTGATTCACCGCCGCAGCGTAGGTACGATAACGAGCGTAGTTATCAAAGTAGTAACCCTATACGTAATTCTAACTGGAATCAACGTGATTATTTCCTGCAACGTCAAACATTTGCTAGACCACGACAGCCATTTATGACGACTGCTCGCCCACCGCCACGTTACTCCTCCCGATTTAATTATCCGCCCCAACGACAACCACTAATAACCCCGCGGAGGGATATCACATTTCGCTATACCGCAACAGGTGAAACAATCTGCGCTCTATGCAACGCCCCAGTGCATCTATGAGCAAATTGTTCTCGTCAATCACCATCTCGTATGTCGCTAAACCCTCCCATCGGTCTTTGCATCGCAAGACGATAGGCTCGGTGACAAAAACATCTCGCTCTTACTTAAACACAAATATATCTAACCCCCCCTGTAAGATAAATAACAACAATTTACCTATATGTTTTGCTTCGGTCGCAGACAAATAAACTCATGCGCTTATAGATTCAGGTTCAGCTGTCTCCCTTGTCAATGAAGCTCTGTTGGAACATGTTAAATTAAAATGTTCACATACCTTTTCGTCAGCACATACGCAAATTTTACGATCTGCAAGCGGCAGAGATCTTTTCGTTTTCGGTAAAGTACTGTTGCCAATAACTATTGCTAAATTTACGGTTAACCATATATTCTTTATAGGACGTACGGGACTTGTTTCAAACCGTTCTGATCGGATGTGATTTTCTACAATACCATAACGTAATACTAGATTGTGCGCAGCGACGTTTGATAATAGATAAGTCCGCTACACCACTATTAGCCTCAAACGCGCCACGGGCATTTATAGTTACCTCTGCGATTCAAATTCCAGCCAAGGCTACGCGTATGTGTAGGGGCTATTTACAGCCAATAACTAATACCACTGCTTCATATATATACAACGTCCAGTAGGTGTCCCGATACAAATTCTTTTGCACAATGCAACCTCTGCTAGCTCATAATTTCTACAACAAGATACTGCGTTAATTTTATACACACCATTGGCCAGTAGCACGGCGCACTATGTACAACGTATAGCGTCAGTCCAGCCCAGGGTGACCTGATTTTAGAAATTTGAATATGGCACAGGAAACGATGCGAGGGAGCGGAGCGATAAGAACTTTTTTTGAATTTGGGGTGCAAATCATGCAATTTAGCACACTTTAAAGTGATTTTTTTTATCCTTTCATTGTACTTCATAGAAATTGAGGTCAAGCTGCAGAACTCTTCATACAGTGCATCAACTGAACACACACACACGCGCACGCGCACACACACGCACAGAAAGAGCTCGATATACGCGTGCCGCGCAGAAAGAGAGACACGTACGTACGTACGTATAGCAGGGGTAACTTCTCACGCATAGCGAATGGTATCCGACGTTGGCTCTGTGCCACCGGTTTGACATTGGGGTCTATGTGAATCTTGGCTTGATAGCCCTTCAGTTTCCCAATACCATCACAGACTGTTGGGTGGCGCTGTCTGACATCATTTAGTGTCAGTTTCTCGCTTTGCACCGTATTGACATTCACGCCTATTTTTAATACACCGAGTTTCTCTGCTCATCAAAGATCTACCTTTCCCTTTAATCACTATGAACTCGGCCTCTGCTGCTCGGTCTCCAACTTCAACAGTTGCTGTAAATTTCCCGAGAGAAATAACTAATGGCATACTTGAACCATACGGGTACTGACATCTTCTTTGTATTAATATCTAGAGAGAATTCATATTGTATTCCTATATACCAACTAATAGTGGACACATCAATTTATTGAAAATAAAATTGTGGTATATCTTTCTAGAAACATGTCTATTGATCCTTTTTAAGAAGCTAACCACAGGCACTTGAAACGTTTCAATAGTAAAATGATGGTAAATAAACACGCCATGTATTTACTACCAAAGTCCTATTTCTCTACTGCCGTTCGCCTATTATTGTCAATAACTTTCTGTAAATGCCGTTCATACGCTCCTCTGCAACACATGAGTCCTTGTGTCTGTTCTGGAGAATTAACAGTACGTCAGTAGTACTACGCTATGGTTCTCATGCATTATCCTTCTATGCAGTGTAACTATATTATGTTTATATATATAGACATATATATTTACATGGGGCTGAGCATGTCCTTATGTTTGATTAAAATGATATTTGCTGTAATTAATGATTATGTATGTGAGATCAGAGGCCGAATTTATTTTCATAAAAACCTGAATACGTGACAGTCAAAATATAATTTTCGTTAAATTTTCGTCTAATTTTCGGCTGCCGGCCGTTCCGAACACGAGACTCGCAGTGGCGGCCAGCAGCTTTGGCGGTGCTGTCACCGATACGCGGTACGTCTTAGCACTCCGCAGATGCAGAAAGCCGTCAACGAGCTCTCACCCGTTCTGCAGCAATTTGCGGAGACAGCCATGCGCGAGAATCATGAGCTTCTCAGGCAGCTAAAAGCCATGCTGCACGAAAGGGACGTCCGCGGTGGCGAACCGGTGTTCGTGTCAGCGCAGACGGATGTACAATACATGAGCCCGCAGCGCACCTTTGGCTACCAGTCGACGATCCAAGCGACAGGTCCGCTGATGGCGGCGGTGGCGGCGGGCCTAGGCCGCCCTCTCCTGCTCGCTCTCTCTGGCGCTAACAAGCGGTGCGGGCTTTGCGAGCGGGGCCGCGAACAAACCAACTGCACCGCCAACTACCCGCTGGACAGAGCGAGGGGGACATCGCTCGCACGAACGTGCTCTTCCTGGCGCAGTCGAACCTGTTCGTCGACCTGCTATGCACCGACGGGAGCGACGCGATGGTGAAGGGTACCGACGAAGCGTACGCTAGCCTAGGCGCGGCGAATAGAGTTGAGAAGCAGGAGGACATGCCACATCACAAGCGGCGGACAGCGAAGCAGATCTGCAATGCTCCGTTCAGCAGCTGCATGCTGCCCGGCACCACCACAGTGGAGCGCAACACGTGGAAGCGAGCGCTCTCCGCCGCTGTCGCTTGGCTTCTGTCGTGCGAGATCTGCGTTGCGATATGCCAAGGTTTGCCCGAGCAGCCAGTGTGCTTCGAAACGCACCTAAGGCAGGTGCGCGCCAGCTTCGTCGAGTGCTTGCAGGGGCGGCACGGCATGTGCCAGGAGAGAAGCCTGTGTTGCTCGGCAAACAAGATCGCCGAAAGGCTTCCGGGCGGGAAGTACATATCGTGGATGACGCGGCGCGACGTGGCCCTGCTGCAGGGGATCGTCGACTACCACCTCAGCGACACCATGATCGGCCGCCTTCGCATGGGACACAGCACCCAACACCTCGAGTCGATCCACCTGCATACGCTGGCCGTGATCCCGAAGAGGAAGAACTTCCCGCGGAACTTGATGGGTCGAGCGTACAGGGCTGCGCTCAAGCAGTGCCTCGGTCCGGGCAACTCAATCCATCGCATCCTGGACGAACTCGGCGCTGGCCTGTCTGCAGGTGGACCCGGCGCTCGGGCTGCACTCGCCCTGGAAAAGAAAGAGAAGGCGCGATTTTTACGCCAACGGACCGACCGCTTCAGATGACGACGAGTGGAGTGCGCGAGGAAGAGGAGACAACAGATGCAACGCGTCGATGGTCAGCAGCAGAGCAGGACGCTCCTTCACCCGACCGGGGGGCACGACCATTCACTCCGCTCGGTGAAGAAGTAGGTAAGTGCAAATACATCATACCGCTTTTAAACTGAAAAAAATACACTGTTTTTCGTTGGGACAGTGGCAGATTTTGAGTGAGAGGCAGCCCTGCCTTGACACATTTTCTACCCTGCAACCAAATGATCTACATTTTGACATAACGTTTTGTGACACCTGTGCGATACGTCAAGATCATCGGACATACGACCACAGTTGATGGCGTACATAAGCCTGTGAGTTCGGCAGGATGCATATTTAACAATTTCATTGCCCAAATCATTCACGCATACCTTTTTGTAGCGAATTCGGCCATACGTCTTACTTGTAGAACTAGAATTGTAGCATGCCCCCGTCCAAATCATGCACCCATGCTGGTTTTTTGCATTTTTTTTTAGTATTTTTTGCAAAAAACACTGCTTACTGAGTCGTTGAAAATTGCTCTCCTGCATTCTGCACTGAAAGTAGTTCTTGAAAACCATGTTTTTGGTGATTCTATAGCGTAAACACTCACCCCACGGCTGATTTTAACTCCGTTTTAAGGTGTTTTCCAACAGTAGAGGGCGTCCATAGGCGGCAGGCCTGAATAAGCAGCACACAGAAAATAATTAAAAATATGTAAACAGTTGCTATCAACACGCAACATGCATTTTATTCATGCAAAATCACTGCACATTAACCGCACAATCTTTATTCGAAACGTTTGCCAGCTCTATGATGCGAAATTCCACCATGTTTGTCGGGTACCCCTCAACTCTCAAACGCGGCTGCCTGGTCACCATGGCTACGACACCCCACACATTTGCACAATTTTTCCACAAAACCGATTGAAATTTCAATCCTTTCCAGACGTCTATTGGGCATCCATCTCGCGTGTGCAATGCACATTTCTGTACTCTAATGACGAAATTTGCCACAACAAATTCGAGAAAACTGCTCTTTTGTACACGAGAAATAGTGCAACGGTTAACAATTGCGGTGGCTTACTGTTGCACGCCTCCTTAAAGTACAATTTGACAAATTTCTGTGTCGTGGCTGAGAATTTGAACGAGGCTTTATTTTTTGGGTTGACACTATTTTGACAACGGCGGGTAAATACAGGAACATTTTACAACGGCAATGTTAAAGTTGACAACGGCGGTGTGCCACTGTGCCTCTTATGTAGAAGAAATCCTGCATTGTACTGAATCTACACTGAATCTAGATTTTCACATAGTCGAGGAATTTTGCAGGTGCACGCAACACTCTCCCAGACCGGGTCGTGACCTTAGGTGTCATTGTCGTATCAGGTGACATCTTAACTGGTGACCCTGGTGGCACTGAGTCAGATTCATCATCGTCATCACTGTCCTCAGTCCCAATTCCTGTCTCTGGAGCGACGTTCTCCTCTGTGGATGTCTCCTGAAACTTCCTCAGATGTGATGAATTTCACATATACTGTGTTGCTCCATCAGTTTCCACAGTGACCTTACTACCCGTCTTTTCCACGACGACTAGCGGTTTCTCAGCATAACGTGTACTCAGCTTATTACGTTTGGGTTGTTGCATCAATACACGATCACTCACTATCCTTGGCATTTCTCCGTTGGTCTGCATAATCCTTGCCCTTCTGTTGACATTGTGCATCACGATCTCGTGCAGATAGTTCTCTCTGTATCTTCTCTTCACGGTATTCAGGCAACTTCGATCGGATTTCTCGACCAAACATCATTTTGGATGGAATCTCACCCGTTGTCTTGTGGGGTGTAATCCTATAATATATGACAGTAGTGATTTGTATAGTTCGTCTTTCCAGTCTTTATACCCTGTGCGTGTGTGATACGTATCGATTTCAGCAAAGTCCTGTTTTGCCGCTTTATCTCCCCATTGGCTTGTGGCCACAGAGGTGGACTAACTCTATGCTTCATACCATTTTCTTCAAGGTAAGACTTGAACTCCTCAGAGACAAACTGACGGCCATTATCAGTTTTTAGTGACAGCGGATTATTCAGGCATCGGATCACGTTCTCAGACTTTACCTATGTGATAATAGCAACTTCAAAGAAACGGCTATGATAGTACACGATAGCCAGGATATACTCCCCTTCAGGCATTGGACCTAGTTAGTCCGCAGCTATATCCTGTCAAGGTAACGTAGACATCTCAAACTGCTTCATTGGCTAAGGGTAGGTTGCTTTTGCTACCAACTGGCGTCCATGACAGGTCCTGCAAACATTTTCGGCGTCTCGGTTGATGCCAGGCCACCAAACTTTAGAACGTAGCCGTTACTTCGTCTTCACGATACCTCGTGAGCTAACTGGACTACTTTCTTTCTCAGCGTTTCTGGAATGATGATTCGCCATCCTCTGATATTTTGTGTGATGAATATATGCATTTAATATGGTTAGGATGTAT